AATAAAGGATTTATTATATGGCTTTCGGGGAAATTTTTCTTGTGGGACACGGCGGGTAGTCCTGAGCGGGCAAGATAACTCTATCTTGCCCGCTCAGGTAGCCAATCACAGTGCAGGATTTGATTCTTGCCCGCTCAAAGAGCCAGCCACACAATAAGATGAAATAATGATAAGTCCAGACAATAATCAAAGAAAATGCATGGGGGTTGGAAGTTAAATAATGACAAGAGTCAACTCATTACTGCACAGATATAGTTTCATAGTAAGCTACTTACAGAACCTGTAAATTAAAGTAGGTACACCGTACATAAAAAAAGCAGGATTATACATACCATGAGTGTTATCATGATTGGCAGGCCATAACTGATTTCATTGGTTGATTCTATTAGGATGACAGTCAAGCTGATTGTCATGCGCACAACTCCCCCCAAGAATGATGCTGCTCCTATCAGTGCAAATGTTCCATGATATGTGTGCTGGTATCCCAACAGCCTGAAAAACACATCACATTATTATGACCTGGCTCATGGTGTTAAAATGCATTAATCATCCTTCCAGGAGAGATAGCTACAGTTGTTACATTGCCACCCGTGTTTAACAGACTTCGTAAATTCATTAAATAGGTTTAGATTTTTTTTCTTTTGGTTTAACAGTTGTTGTCATGCATATGCCCAATCAACTTAATTACCTTTAATAAAGATAAAGATAAAGATAACTGTTATTTAAGAAAAGCACTCTTGCTATGCAAAGGTACCTCTAGACTACATAAACATGTATCTAAGCGCAACTTGTCCTGGCAGGTAGTGGTTTACTTGGAAAGCTCAGTGAAAGTATTTTGCCATTACCTGCAAAGTTCTCCAATAAAGCGGCCATAAGCTGCACCACACAACAAGCAAGGAACAAACAGACCACTAGGAACACTGGCACCATATGTCCAGCAGGCCAGGAAGTAGAAACAGATGAAAAAGATCCCCAGGGATGTCAGACTAAAGGCACCTGATGAGTAATCAGACAGATACTAACTGAAGGATACATGTATGTCATGCAATGCATCATTGTCAAAATGCATTATTGTCAAAATGACAATTTACACATTATCCAACAGCTTGATGTTAAAATCGTCAGTGACTGGTCCTACAGTGTCTTGGATATTTCAGACAATGATGCAATGTAGTGCTATGCCAACTTACATTCTCACTTCTGAACATAACCACCTTTAGTTAGTATAGGTAATCGTATGAATACGAGTACAATTAAGGCTTAACACTACAAGTGATATTTGAAAATTCCCTCACAATTGCACGAGCCTTTAGACAAGTGCAATTTGAAAGAATTTGCTTCCATCTGATTACTCATTTATTATATGACTGGGAAAATAACAAAAGTGTGAGCATTAATTTCACTGCAGTGCAAAATAAAACTTAACAGTATATTGGCCTGGTCTGAGCAATTGCAATGACAGTCTGAAGTAATTTTTTGCAGTTATATATTAAATAACATTAATACTAGCCAAGATGGTCAACCTAGGAGTGGAGAATTAATTTTGTGTACTTACAGGAACCACAGAAAATGATGAGCTAAATAACAGACCAAGACCTACTCTTTAAAGAATTATTTTTTAGCAGTTTGCATTGTAAGTTAGAGGAAAGTTCTGTTGCAGGAAGTAATTAAGGCCGCTGTCTAGTATCATCTAAGCTAGTTACAAGCTATCACAACACAGACATTTACCATCAAGATGGAAAAGTTGCCTGATTGCTGACTCCTGAGAGGTAAAGAACAATGTGGCCATGTCATTGAACTGTCCATCTTGACAAAAGTAAGGCTTGGTGTCATTCCCCTTAGTGCTGCCCTGTAGAAAGGAAAACTGTTCTGTAAATGTGTAAACTACACTCAACTTGTACAATGAGGCTGTATCTAAAGAACAATAACTACTGTAGTTATAAAGTACAGTGTCTCACTAAGAGTTAAATTTTCAAAGGAAATCTTTGTGACAATCCATTACTGGTCAAGAGTATAATTATATATTAAAATAATCTCTCTAGTGTAATCAGTTCCATTCTTCATAACCCCTCTTAATCTCCGATTGCACAAAGATTTTTTTTTTCAATATTTGCTAAGATTAGAGCAGGAGGGTATGGAGAACAAGACTGCAAGTTGAATCTCACAGATTTCCACTATAATGTCTTAATACCAAGTTAGAGCACATTGTTTAGTATACTACCATTTTTGCAAAACAGATTCAACTAGTACAATGAGGCTGTATTTATAGAAAAAATTATAAAATTGGTTTTAGAATACAATCTCTCCATACTGGTATTTATAAATGATGTGAGGAAATACTTATAACAGTCTATTACTAGTCAAGAGTACATGTACATATAAAATCATTTCTCCATAAAGTTAAAACAAGTGCCATTATCCGTACCGTCCATTCTTGGTTTTGTATTGATTTTACAAACTTTACAAAAGTAGTACATGAATGCTAGGTGAATTTCAGAGTTTTCCACTTTCATGTCACACTGTATACAGCATCAAGATGATGTTAGACTTACAGGAGGAAGTGTCTTGCAGCGTGCAAGGTATATTGGACCAAAGAATGCTACTGAAGTGGTGAGAAAACCAACCAGAACAGCTTCAAGAATCCTATAATATGCAAAAACAGACAATAAAAACTGGATAGTACAACTACAGCTTTATGGAGCTGCTATTTTAAATAACCATCCAAGAAAATAAATGATCCACAACTTGTAATTTTACATATATCCTCATAGAATACAGTTTGTTTGATTTGATGACTTGAAAAACCAATATATAACCAGCTGAAGGTAAAATATTTTAAAAATTTGGAACATGACATTCTATGACTTTATATTAATCAATCTTACCAAAATTTCTTAATGTTTGTTACAAGAATTCTTGAAGTAAATAAAGATGGGCCAGCACGCCTAGATCATTATATCAGTTAATCATTATTAATTTTAGTGGAATCAAGTCATGTGTTATGCCCACGATGTCTTTACTGTGGAAAAAGAAACTTTTAGTTATGTCGTAGTATAACTAAAGTCAAGAGTAGTTTTCACTTGCATTTTTACAATAGTACACTTAATGTTTGGTGTAAAACACAGGTGCCACTTTCTCATCCAATCAGAAGCAATTATACCAAGACCAGTGGTGACTCACTCGAACTCTCAAGCTTTGCGTCAGATACATGTATGTCCTCTTAGTTTTGATTGGTCCATCAGTACACCAGATTGTCTGTGCCCTTTGTGATTGGCCAGAGTGATAACTTTGAAACACTCAGTTGAAAACTACTCTAACTTACTATTGAAGTTATTAAATTACCTAACATGCTTAGCTCGTGAATAGACATGCAAGATGCGATGGACTGTGAGATGTTTGTTCAAAGCATTGAACCAGGCTCCAAGAAGACCACCAACAAAGCCCATAGCAATGAAGATCAGAACATCCTGTAGGTTCCACAGATCACACTTCTCTGTTCCTTCCTTACACTTTGAATCAAAACATAACTACCAGTCAGAGTTGATGAGTAACTCACAGTACAGCTTATTTTCAACTATAGTTACAGCTTAACTCCATTTGTTTGCATCTACTTTGAACATGGAAGGTTGTCCTGCATTCAATGGTTGGTTCCTGGACCAAAAACCTGTGTCTTAAAAATCAATACCTGAAAGTGATTTATGCTTGTTTTACTTTTAGAAATGCGGGGCTCACAGATGATTAAACATTTGCATTGAGACATTAAACAGTTGCTATTGTCTCCTCGCCTTCAGTATCATGGTTAAAATGTGTAGAGAAAATTAGTCCTTCATGTTTTTGTTTTCTGCTCTGAACATTATGACAGCATTTCTCTCAATAGGAATCATTTGAAATATACACCACATCAAAATTTAAAGTATTATACATAAATTGTCAAAAAAAATTAGGTAATGCACCCTGAAGTCTCCAAAGTTGAGCAAGCCAGGCTGATTGAATAAACCCCAGCCATAACCAAAAATACCAGTCAAACAAAAGTTCAATGTGAATGTGGAAGCCATGGAACAGAAAAACTGAAAAAGAGATCAAGAAAGAAACATTATTTTACGCATAATTTGTAATGTTTAAAATCCCAGTTCGTAGGAGACAAAGTGTGTTGGACTCTTGATCTGGCAGACCAGGTTCCAGAACTAATACCTAAAGATACTTTATTCTCAAACTCATTAATAATTCATCAAGTTTAAATAGACAAACGAAATCATGACGGTGACAGTGTTTGGATATCTGATCTTAATTAGCATAGATTTTTATGAGTTCATTTCTCCATTTTCTACTTACTTTTAGTTTCAATTGAGATGATGAATCAAACACTCAAGACAGTGTTTTACCAAATCAAACTCCTCAAAGTTCATCAAAAATACTCCCCTGTGCATCACATTTTCAACTCTCCTCTCGTTGTTTTGAATGTGGTCAAACACAGTCTTTCATGTCTGATATATTACCTCTCACAGTGTTTTTCCCCAGTTGGATAAAAGAAAAGAAAACTAAAAAAAATGCTAGGAGACAACCTGTGATGAACTAGCATCCTATCCAAAGGGAGACTAACAAATGAACATATTCATTTCTATAAACTTTCTGCTAAACCGTAATTTATAAGCTCCAATGTGGGCCTGTGTCATTAGTCAGCTTGCTCATTACAAAGTCAGTACAAAACTATGATACAAGCATAAAAATCAAAGTCAAAATGTAGATTGTGTACTTATAGGCCTGTTTACTTTGCTTTAAGTTTTAGTGACAAATCATGGAGGATTGATTTCCGAACATTGTTACAATATGTTCTACTGGAAATAAAAGTAATCTTACACTTCTCCATGTGAGTGCTTGGTTCCAAAATGAGCTTCCTTCCTCCAAGCTAAATAACACCCCTCCTATGGGAGCCCCAAAAGCCGCTGGAATTAAAAAATGAATATTTAATGTATTACATTTGAAATAATAGAATCTTTGTCATCACTATTTTAATTCATAATCTAACAACATAGATTTCTAGTAAGATAAATTATTACTATAATGGCTAATAACAGTACCTGCTACTCCAGCAGCTGCACCTCCCGACACAAAATCTCTTTTCTCTCTGATGTGATTTGAAAGAAAAAAAAATTAAATTGAGATCCATTCTGCTGTTATTTCAAAACTTACACATTTAAAATCAAGATTCTTGTTATGTGGAATGTCAGCTGTATACACCGTATATACATGTACATGTAATAACAAAATTATAGCACTATTTAACCTCACCATAACCTCAAATCATGTGCTCTTTTTATACACAATATATTAATTAAAATGTTTTCGTCAATATAGTTTAACCAACAGATTTAAGCATATTAACCTGAGGAGACTATTTAGTGAGGCTGGAACAGCTGAAACACGTTTGATGGACACAATCCCCTCAGCTCTCAGGTCAACTCTAATTTGAAAACTTCCTTTAATATACCAACAATGAATAGAATTACCTGTCTGTTCGGAAGTACGGAAAATCAAAGTTGATTTTTCTAAATGCAATACTTTGAAACTGTTAAGGAAGAAAAAAGGAAATGCTTTATCGTGCGATTGAAAGTGGATTTCATCTTAAGTGTATTTTGTGTGATTATTTAATAATAATTTAAAGTAATTATAGATAAATGAAACATTGACAAAAAGAACAACAAACTGTGTATTACGCACATATAAGTTACAATCAGTATTTATCTACCAGACACATGGTTGTAAGATCCTACTAATTTAGAAATAATTAAATTTTTAAAGTTACTTTACTACCTGGGGTACTCCAGCACCTATAATTGCACCACTGTGGATCATTGGTCCTTCTTTCCCGACAAATAAACCTGAATGATGCAAAACATAGCAGTAACATAACAGTCAGGAAGATGTGGTGAAAATATGGTATGAATTCATTTTAATTTCTAATTTCCGAAATAAAACACAGAGGGTCTGAGCCATCGCTTCAGGATTAGCAGGTTTGCATACATGTAACACTTTTGTCCTCATCCTTTCATCTAATTATAATTATACACAGAAGTGTGCAGTATTAGGAATATGTCCTCAGTAGAAAGCCACCTATCTGTTAATGACAAAAGTAATGTTTTCGGTCTCCTTACCTCCAGCAACACTAAACAACACACCAACTGCTTTACATATTAGGGTTTTAAGTCGCACCACATGAGGAACCTGCAATCCAAACATTTTGTGTACTGGTATTAAGAACCTCACTTGGTCTCAGAAGTATACAGTATGCCAGAATGACACTGAGCAGAAATACAACAGTACAGAATTTCAAATTGGTCCATTCTGAGAAAGGGTAAACATTAATTTATTATGCACATTATGTTTAACGAGCATTTTTCCTGGATGTACTTGTAATTCAAGGATTTCATTCAGGGCAAAACTTTTTAAAGTGAACTTCTTTATAAGAAAAACTTTCCTCTTGATTGTCTGAGACCAGACAGGCAAAATCATCCTCACAGCTGGTCAATTTGCCTGGTGACTGGCCCTTAATGAAAGCCCTAGTATTTGCTGCATTCTTATGCTCAAATTCTCTGGGACTGTCATAAGAAGCTGGCAAATGGGAAGTTAAAATATACATCTATGTCAAGAAACATTATTGCTGCACCAGAGCCGATTAGCAACTCAAAATTATAGTCGAGATTCTGGTCATGATCAACTGAGTAATGACAGTCCTGATAGGACTGTAAAGTACCATCATGATTGCATTCACGTGTTAGCTAGGTAATTATCGAATAACAACTAACCTTCACTCCATTCAGGTAACACTTGATTTCAGGAATTCCACTTCCAGCTGCCACAGGCTAAAACAAATCAGAAATAAAAAAGTCTGAATCTGTGGATTTCCCTAGAGTGGCTTTTTTTAATTCTCTGATTCATGAGGTAAGCTGTCCAGGTAGCATTGTTCATATCTATAATTTATGGCTTGCCTTCTGGCATCCATTCCTTGTTCTCCCCACCAGCTAGGAAAGTGATAAACTAAATATCTTAATTGCATGAAAAACATGGAGAATACTGAGCATACTGTCCGATAGATTTTGTTTTCATTGCAACAGAATTAATATATAGCTAATACAGGACCAAGTGTTGTTTAATATTGACATAATTTGACAAGAAAAATTATCGGAACTGCCAAATTGGGAGATTGGCCATAGGTAGAGTACAGTACAGTAATTAGCAACTCAAGAATTTCTTTAATCTGGACAGTTATTTCCAAATTACTGGAAAAGCTATAATAATATACTATACTATATACATCAAAAAACAATTAGCAACATATGCTTGATTGACAATAATATATATGGAGATTAAAATGAGAAATTGGAAACTGGTTTGTCCAGGAAAAGAGGAGCTCCAATTAAAAAAAAATTTAGTAATAATTGTGATTTCTTTCAAAACAATAAATCAAATGAGAAAATTACCACCAAACCAAGATTAATAAGTGGCAGACAATATTTTCAATGGTCATAATGTTTACAGATGAAATTTTCAACATGTTGTGAGCATAGGACAAAAAAAGGTCATTAACTGTTTCCCCTATATATTGCTAGGTACATGTACATACCTCAATGGCACAAAGTATTCCAGCTATAAGACAGAACAGGCCATTAATTGCCATCAAAATAAGAAGAGTCACTGCTAGACAACCTGAAGGTGTACAAGCTATAAGAGCTGCAGTACACAGTGAAGGGTAAGTTAAGGATACACATAGGCTGCACAGAACAGAATTGAATAATAAATAAATTGCCCGTAATAACGTAATAACAGGGTGATCATAAGGCAGGGTTCCACTGTATTTTTAACAGCTAAAGGAAACTAAACAATGAGTGATTAAAGTTCACTTGTTAACTATAGCACCTTGTACTACAGTCAAGAAATACTTCTGCGAATTTGGTGGTACACTGCAGTGCAGGCATTATTTTGGAACAGAAAACTCAATAACCGTGGGTCTTCAATGCCGCCATCTGGATGGTAACTAGTAGAGGGTAGGGGAAGAAGGGGGTGGGGTCCATTTTTTCACACCTACTCCCTCTGTAAATTTTCCCTCACCCCAGCCCTCCAAAGTTTTTTGTCGTTTTTTTCTCAACTCATCACAGTTAACAAATCCAAGATGGCAGTCTAATACAAAAATGTGCACTTGTATACCTGAAATACACCTGTACTGAAGACTACTTACACGTATAGTCTGTCTGCTTGACATTGAACAACTTGTTAATATATGACCCGTTCTATGACTTGGTAAAAGATACATTTGTGGATGGTATCGAATTTCCACTTGGTTAAAAGTGTCACAAAGTAATCAATAAAAACAGCAACCTGCAAATGAGCATATTATTCAATTAAGCTTGGTTCAAATTAGTAAGTGTTATTTTTGCAAATAAGAACTCAGCTGAATAATATTATACACAACTACTTTTTATAATGTTCAATGTGCACTTATGGGCGAATTACGTTTCTAGTAAGTGGTGAACCAGAAAGCAAATGAATATCTGTATAAACATGCAAGCCATTAGGTACGTCAGTGTGCATACATGCCAAGGAACAGGTCACCGCAATCAAAAGAAAACAATAACTGCACAAAGAATTCTGACAACAAATAAATACTGCTGTACTGTTATTTTTATTATCTCACGTCCTTGCAGCTTAGTCTGGCCACTTAGTCTAGCCACACATTAGAAAACAGCAATATCATTATACACTGTCAAAAAATATGCACTCAAACCCAATGACTGGTTGCCTCCAATGTGCAATATACTGTAATTGTCACAAATTATGAAGAGATCACTACTAAATGAACAGCTTACCAAGCCTGTCAATATTCCAATGGCTCCTGTTACTATCCATCTCACAACTTCTTGTCCCAAGAGTGACTATCACATAAAATAAGAAACATCATTTTGAAATGTCATGATGTGAAATTCACAAATTCTGATTGGATGAATGTGTTGCGATGTTCAGTTTCAATCACAGGAGTGAAATACTGAGCAATTCTGTGGAGTCACCAGCATATTTTATCAATTGAAAGTACATTTGTTCCTCACATGCCAAATTAGCACTTTTGCATGATTCTGACTGTGATCCACATCACCAGCAAAAATCACCCTCGCAATAGAAGGCACACCTCTGAATTTTGCCACTCATTAAAATGAATCACTGGTGTCTCATTCTTAGCTTGAAACACAAGCACTACATGAAACCAAATTTTTGTTATTTTCTCAAACAAAACAAACACTTTTAACTTTTTTACATGGCTGTTCCTCTCTCCTGCACAGATGTTCAAGCATTCGTTATATAAATCTGTTGTGTGAAGTGAGTGCAGGTGCAAAGTCCAATGGATCGATCAGCCCACACCTTCTGCCATCACCTTTCACGTAACCCTGTGCAGACCTGCACTCATATCGTTTAGTGGATTCTCCCCACCAAAAATAAATTCCTTTGAGCCTCTGTGTAGGAAAGAGTGGCTGTACCTTTTTATCTCTGGATGCAAGCATCTGTGAAAAAGGTTTGTTGTAGCAAACATCATAATCAAGGCTCTGTTAAAGAAAGGGCAAAAAAGACACAAATCTAAAAACAAAAACAAAATCTTGAACTAACATTGAATTTAAAGTAAATTTATTCATTAAGAAAAATAAGTAAAATGAAAAGGTTGGGCACTGCATACCTTCAGGAATTGCAAGTGCCTTAAATTAAAATAGGTTTAGCTGGTACCTCATAGTCTTTACTTGGAAGTTTAGATTTTGCATGAGAATATCCCTCGCCATGAACTTCCATCTGCCAGACAAAAAGTATTAGTTAAGTGGTCAGTGCAGAACTGATGAGAAATAAATGGATAGCTTGATTAAGGAGAAAAATGTAACCATATGACCAATGACAAAAGTGTTGTGAATCAGAAAATAGTCTCTGTGTGAAACAGAATCACATGCCTGTGCTCCCCTGAAGCAATAGAGCACTTCATCCGTGCTTACATAACCTCATCTAGACATGAGGAGGGTTGGGAGAATTTACAGATTAATCATTGATATTAACTTTCAAGAATTCTCCCAGCCCCCCAAGAGTTTAAATGAGGCTATGTAAGCACAGAAAAAGTGCTCTATTGCTTTTATAAAATAATTCTCAAAAATACGCAAGAATCTAAAACGTCACAACTGTGTTTACATACTCTCACCTAAACACACCTATTGACCAATGAGAATGCACGTAGTAGATCAGTTATTTTATAACGTAATACATGTATATATATTAAGTACTCTGTTCTACCATACCAAGTCTGCTTTGGCAGCCTAACGTTTATGAAAATAAAATCAACAGTAGCATAAATTGGTCCTTTGCATGACCGGGTCATGTGAATTTGTTGATCTTAAAAAATGGCTGTGGCAAAAAAATACACGCCAGAAATGGAATAAGCATGATGAAATTAGTAACTAAAGGTTTTTAATGTAGGAGATTTGCACGTTGTCATCATTTGACTACAACTACCAGAATTCCTTTTGTTTTTTTCTTTATTATTTATTTTGAAGCCCCACTGGGGTTTAAATAACAATTGCCCTAAGTACTGTAGCATAAGAAACAGAAAAAGTGAAGGATTCTGGTAGTTGTAGTCAAATGATGCCACCATGCAAATAGTCTATTTTGAGGCTAGCCACTGATGTTTAAGTGCCAGATTTAAAAGCAGTTTCAAACTTTGAAAATTTAGACTTGTATCTTGGATAGCAAAACTTACATGTACCTTCCAGCAGTTTTTCTCAGTATGCAAGTCTTGTTAATTTTTTAAACATTGACAGCACTGTAAAATCACTCATTAACAAGCATCTAGTCAGTGGCTTGAAATATATAGAACTGTCAGCCTTACCAATTTCATCATGCTCTGCATCCATTTCATACCACAACTATTTATTATGATTGACAAGGTCACATGACAAGATCATGCAAAGGATCTATTCAGCTTCACTCTTGATACCAGCCTTGTTGCCGTGGAAGTGTACTGGGCACAAGAGAAGTCAAAACTGGTAAGTCACAACATCACCAAGGAGTGTGCTACCTACTCAAATGATGCTTATTTGTAAGTTAATTCTTTTACCGAATCCCATGCTCCTCCCCATAGCCCTTTTTGCTTCTCTTAGCCGGCGTGATCTTGGCACAAGAAACGAAGGGCTCTGAGGACATTGAATCTCTGGGATTGGCTCTGGGATTTTTGAATTAATTCAAATTTTTTCGACTGGCCATTTGAAAACAAAGAAATCTTGGAACGGAAGTCAAAATGTTCGAGCAGATATTGCTGCCATGAAAATATGAAACAGCTGTGACCAGCCGTGCTCTTGAAGGGCCATTAGACAGCTGAACTGCAAATCGTTTAGCTTCACGGTCTGACCTCACATCAAGGCATTGAAAAGCGAAACAACCAAAATAAACTATTTAGTTGATCCACACCGGGAGTCAAAAACAAAGGGCAATAACTGAAAACTCAATGAATGCCAAAGCCTGTCAGAAAAACAATTAGACTGATGAAAACATTCTCCAAATTCATGCCACTTAACGTCTGAGACAAATTCCTCAAATCCTGCCTCAACGGCTGCCATTGACAATCCCATACAGTGTATACTATTACAAACATTACAACTGCATACAATTCATGTATCACATGAAGACCAAAAGTCCTAGAATCTAGGACTGAAAATCCTTTGTCTCCAGAGCCCTTCATTTCTCGTGCCGAGACCATGCCAGCTAAGAGAGGCGAAAAGGGCTATGGGGACGAGAATGACCAAATCCTTGAACCCAGTATATTAACATGAGAGGACATGGGAGATAAGGTCTTTAATTGTAATAGTGAAAGTGGTATTTCCTTAATTTGTTGCAGCTTTGAATTATGATTAGGACACTAGGTTTAATACTATAGCTTACTTAAATTTTAACACCGAAATCAAAGTATTTCCCGAACACCTTGCTTCATAGAGTTTAATAAAAACGTAAGCTTACAATTAACCATAAAATTGATTATGGGATGAATGTAAGCTTGATATCTCACTCACCAGTTCCTGAGAGCCTTCAGCGAATCGTTCTACTCGTTGTCCGTCCATTCAGATTACACTGTAACTCACTGTTTAATGCTTGCTGAATGGCAGAGAGAACAGCTAACAGCTAACTTAAGGTTTTCCTTCGTTCATTCATGAGCTCAAATTGTGCCTCTTTCGGACAATCGCCTAGGCCGGAGGGTAAGTACGTTGTCAGACTTACCCTACAAAACCTAACGCACGTAAGCTCAGGACGTAAGGTTTCCAGCGTTATGGATAAAACTGTTGAACTTGACAATCATCAAAAGTGCAACGAAAGTCTCAGACAATACAATACTGTGCAAGTTTCGTACCTGTTCAAAGAACTTCCTCGCCATCCAACCCTCTCGGCCCAATTCTCAGCCCACTTTCACAAACCGTATCAGCCTGGGTACGAATTTATTGTAAGAGGCTCCATATCCGATTAATACGACATGTGGTAAAAGATCCAGTTGGCGATAAATTTTGCTTTCTCTGCCAAGTATTCCTTGTGACGTCCTCATGATGCTGTAAGTAAAAGGTAAGAATAATTCTCCGTGTGTTTAACGAAATGGTTTACTAACTGTTCTCTTCGCACTGGCACAGCTGTCGAGTTCTTTTTCATTGAGGTAGTCCGTTGTTGTTTCTTCTTGTTTACTCTTTTATCGCGGTCATTTCCATGATAAATTTTCCAATTTATGTTGTAGTTTACCCGACATGAAATTTCGGTATTCCTCAGAGATCCTCTGAATATTTCCTCAAAGCTTAAAGCAGATGAAATTCAATTCTGTTCGCGTGGGAAGGTTGTGACCGATCTTCGATGCAAAGTATTAAGTCTGATCTTGAAATGCGAGCTGATTCTTTGTACGATTGCTTTCTTTTGCGGAAGTCGTTAGCAGTTTCAGTTCGATCGCCTTAGTTAAAATATCTGGCGGTCCTTTGCTAAGAATAATACATGGCAGTCTTTTGGCGTTCTTATTAACTACCATAGCCTTAAATAATTTTTTTCACTATAGATCTTCTTTTTTTATTGCATATTTTGTATTTATCCCTGCCAATTAACTCAATGTTTAGGTAGATGAACTGAATGTGCATGGATTGGAAGACTGGTGATCGAACTTGTGTTCGAAGATTTTATTGCTGTACAGACTAACAGTCGTTTCTATCGAATTCGAAGTAATTTTTCTCTTTGTTTTTCTCAACAATCAATGATTTGAAAGTCCATAGAGTTCAGATGCATGCTAAATACGAAATAAAATCGTTTTCCTGAGTTGGAATTTACAAAGCAATTGAATTTAAAGATATTTCCGCGTTATACTAGGAACCATTTTGTCAGTGTTGATTGTTATAACTGGATCTTAACATCTATAGCTAGAACATAACTACAAGCTAACCAACAAAGGTAAAGTTCAGGATGTCTGTTAAGATCCACTCTTTTGTCTCAGATGAAAATATGTTGTTCTTAAGAATTAGATCTGAATACATTAGAGTGGCAGATAATTGCAAATTGGTACATGTATGTGGAAAGTACATTTTAGGGTTTGTGAAGTCCCATGTGAAGTGCTATGTGAATTAAGATGTTTTTTTATGGTCATGCCTGGCTGTTTCATAAAGGGGAAATATGCTAAGTGTGAAATAAAGTCTTCTAGGGAATCTAATGCCAAAAGACAATTTTCATAAAACTGGAGGTCTATCATTTTCCAATATTTTCACAAATTAACTAAGACCTTAATCATGCTTTAGAGCACATGATGGCTGCATGTGAGAGTTGAGAGACTACATGTACAATAGAAGCCTAAGAGTTGCTTGAGGTGTAGCCAAGATGAACAAATTAATCCTAGCTTCTCAAGTGCTCTCTAAACCTCTAAGAGTATCCATAACCTGACAGACACGTAGGTAAAAGCATGAACCAGTTCTTGTATAACACAACAATATAAGTCATGAATAAGCGTGAGCAGCTTTAATTTACAGTGATATGTTAATTTCTCTTTTCTTTCTGGAAAGAGCCGCAATTCTGCCTCCCACATAATTTTGTGGATCAAATGTGGACATGTGTCTATATGCTTGAGCTACTAACTTAATTAGATCATGCAGATTTACTGGCAATGTTATAAAGTGACTCTGATGGTGATTGGTCAGATAAGGAGACATTCTAAAGCCTGAGGTTGAATGGTCAATTTTTCATTCGTTAATCTGTAGAACAAGTTGATTCTCCAGCAAGGTTTATACAGGTAAAAAGACAGGCTCCTGATAGATTGAAAATGTAATCCTGCATTTCTAAGGAGATCTTTGTAAACAAATTAAAAGCAGTGGTCATATGGTTAAAGTTACAAGTATGACAAACAGCCTACAACCATGGACAAATTGTGTTCACTTGGAAAATGTGCAAAAACATGAAATCATAACCGTAGTGCCTACAGAATAAGTCTCCCACTTCCCCTTTCAAAGTTGGAACATGTCAAAATGCAAACTTGTGTTAGATGAAAGTGTTAATTGTCAACATTGCACAGGGGTGGGGAGGGGCAAAATGCAAATAGAATGACGTTTTCTGACCCTTGTGACCTGTAGACAGTTATCCTCCTGTAATCAGTAGTGTGATTTATTTGCTAACAATATCCTGACATACTGTCTAATAGGTTGGTTGCCTTAAACTATCAAGATGGCTTCTGCTGAAGAAGGTGCTGGCAAATCAGAGACAAAACAGTCACCATCTGTGTCTGTCCACAAAGTCCAAGTTGTGGCGCCATGCATTGCTGAATCTGGAACTTCATCCTCCCAAGAAAATGAAGATCAACAGGTTAGTCATACATAATTTACAGTCAAAATCACTGAATTCAGCAAAAATCTAATGGAAATTAACTTTTAATTTTAGATCAATTTTAGATAAATTGTGTTTGGGTTGATGAATGCTTTACAGACCCTTTTCATAAATGGCTGCCAAAATTCTTTTGTATGCATTTAAATTAGCGTCACTAAACCCATTTGGGAATAAAAACTCTTTTGAAATATCAACTCAAGAACAAGGCTAGTCAGGCTAATTTGAATACTTACAAATTAAAGAATTTACAATCGGCAGCCATTTATGAAAAGGGTCTATAGCCTGACAGTACATGAGTAAACTCGGGCACAAAGCCATCCTTGGAAAGGTAAAGTTACAGACAATGAGTGCAAACTTTTTTCACAACAAGCATATAGAGTCCCATAGAAAAAGGGTGGGTTCATCGGAAATTTTGGAAAGATACCGTAAGAGGTACCAAGATCCTGTTTGTGGGGCTTGAAATTTTCATATCCCTAAGAAGTACCAATTCTAAAACTAATACTAACATTGACT